TGACATCAGACTTTTAGGTAAAAAAAAATTAATCAAAATGACTTTCCAATTATGCCCTTTGCATATTAAAGGGGTAAGAATAGCAAGAAAGCCACTGCTATCCGCCCGAACTCAAAACACAAATCGTCAAAAATCTAAGAGAGCTGCAAAGGATGAGAACAATACCACAAAATAAAAAAGTATATATCCTCACCAATTCGCCGCAAGTCTTAGAGAGTATGAAAGCAAAGAAGCATTGCGAAATAAAAAGCGGACAATGCTCTTCACACCTCTCTGGAAATCTAAGAACTGGAAATGAAAATCGCCGAAATTTCGAAGACGAAAAGACACTGCGGCCATCTGTAAGCTCACCAACGTCGTTGCCAATTGCCATACATCAAGCCACAATCGCCGGAATAACAGTTCACTAATGGTTCTCCTTAATTAGTGTTGTTGCAGCTTCTCCATTTCAAATATGGTCAACCAAATATGGATGTTTTTACTTGGACCCAAAGTTGGTGGTCTGGTCTGGTCTGTTTAAGTCTAATCTGAACTGGTCTGGTTTAATCTGGTCTAATCTGAACTGATCTAGTCTGGTATATGTCTGATCTCTGTGTATTTATAAATATGGAAGTCTGGTCTGTTTAACTCTGATCTGGTCTGATCTATTTAAATCTGGGCTAGTCTGGGACTGAAAGCAATCCAAATAAAACATCCTAATCGAGTCCACAAAGTTACAGAGTAGCAAATTGTGGTCCTCCAAGCTCGAATCCCGCCTACCGCGAAGACTAAAGCATCCACAGGAAAGAAAGGTAATGGAAGAGTGAGAGGCTTGAAAGGGAGAGAGTCGGATGAAGAAGAAAGGTAGTGGGAGAGGAAAGAGGCAAGGAAGTGCAAAAACATTTGGTCCAAAAAGTGGAATCTCCCACTCCAGGAGCCCTCCATACCCCGACCCGACAAGATTTTTGGAAGGATGTTAATAGCGGTGACTCAGTCGGTCCAATGATGGTAGGCCTTTTTCCCGTGCGCACCAGAGGTCCAGCCTTATTTCAGGTTCTGTGACCTCCACACGGCCGCTGCGGGTTTCGAACCTTGGTCACTTGGTCCAAATTTTCCATCACTGAACCAACTGAGCTACCCGTGCGGGTAGGAAGTGCAAAAACATGAGTGTATTTAGGAGGGCAAATGAGTAGTTTTACAATAAAAACTTACCAAAAATAGAAATAAAATAAAGTGGAAACTTAATTGTGGGATATCTAGAAAGGAAATTGAGAACTTAATTGAGGGACGAATGGAGATAGGTTATTGTAGATACAACTTTACTTTATAGTTGATAATCTTCGTATTTGAATTGAAAAAATGATATCTTTGACATGTTCTTTCATCTTTATATCATTTTTATTACTCACTCTTTTTTTTGATGAGCATCTGATAGATTATGATCTATGTTATGGCTAACATTCTTGAACTGAGCTGGGATTAGGGTTGTAAACGAATCAAATAATTTGTGCTCGATTCGCGATTCGAATTCGTATAAGATGATTCGAATTCGGAAAATTCAAATATAAATAAGAATATTAAATTTGATTCGAGTTGTTATCAAATACAAATAAGAATATCGGTGTATTCGATTCGAATATTAATCAAATATATTCGATTAGTAATAATGGTAATATTAATGTCAATATTAATAATAATAGTAGTAATAACACTATAATAACTTTTAAAAGATAGCCATGCCCTCAAAGTGTAACCCACATATACACTTTTGCATACAAATTCCAAACCTATTTGTAATAAATCAGAATATAAATACAAATACAAATCAAATTTTTGGTTCTAACGTCTTTCAAATACAATACAAATAATTATGTATTCGATTTGAAGAATAAAATTAGAGTTGTTTGACTTTGATATATACAATTATCAACTTATTTCACACATCATAAGTATAATTTCTAATAAGTGTGTGTTATTGTTTATTTAAAAAAGTTTAGATTTATATTTATTAATCATAAAATTAATTCACTTTAGTATATTGTGTACCATCTAAAAATGCATTGATCCATTAAATTTAAATTCAAAAAACACATATTAAGTCATAACATGCATTTACAACATAAAAAATATGGAATATAAAAAAGTTATTTTAGACTAAAATTTAACTTATGCTCAAATCGATTCGATATTCGTATATGATTCGTTAACTATTTGTATTGTTAAACAAATACAAATACAAATCAAAATTAATATTCGTTTCATATTTGAATTCGAATTCGTATTCGAAAAAATTAAACAAATACAAATACAAAATCTCATTATTCGACTCGATTCGGTTCGTATACGACCCTATGTTTGAATCTCAAGTTGGGATTCAAATATATGGTCTCCCCCAAAAACCCTACAGTAAAGTTTATGTTTTAGTTTTTGGAAATTATTTAATTATAAAGTGGCAAGTCTACCTTTATTTCATTTACCCCTAGCACCCCATTTTAACTCCATTAGTAGGAGGTAAATACTTTTTTGTAGATTTATACAAGCAAAGTCAACACTAAGAAGCCCCCTTTCAAAAAACTAGTAAAATCAAAGTAGAAATTGAATTAATTAAGAATGGGAAGGCCTAATGTTTTACTGCAGATTATTTATAAAATATTGCTGAAATCAAACAAACAAAACTAAATTTATTATGGGAATTGTCATAGTCGCTACAATGTGAACAAAATCACAATCATATCACTAAACATTAATAGAAGTATTTTATTCATACTTTATTTTAATCGGAGGAGGGTCGCGACGGGTCTGGAGCAGGAGAGTGGGTTGGGATTGGCTAGGTGTCAATGTGGTTCCGCCAGTGGCCGGATCTGGAATTGGGGCGGGAGTGATGGTACGATGCAGCGATTGTAGGGGGCGGGGTGGGGGCGGGGTGAGGGGCATCGACTGTGTAAGGGATGAGTGCTATGAAGTTGGGGTGGCCGGTTGTAGTAGTTGACGGCAGTCACAGTAGGGTTAGGGACTGGGGTAAGTGGGAGAGGGGGTTGGGGTTGGTGTAGAAGAGGCTCGGATTGGCGGCATGTGGCAGACAGGTGGTGGACAACGGTGGTCTCCGGCATGGACGACGCTGGTTTAGTTAGGCGGGCAGTCACTGTGGGAGTTGGGCGAGCAGCCACTTTGGTCGGGGCGGCCTCAGTCACTGACGGGTGAAGTCATCGTGGCGGCGCAGTCACTGACGGGCAGAGTCACTGTGATGTCGCAGTCACTGATGAGTAAAGTCACTATCGCATTGGTGACGATGATGGCCGGTGGACGGGCAGTCACTGGGGTCGGTGGGTCGGAGTCACTGTGATCGGAGCGATGGCGGTGCCGGCGGCGGTGCCGATGACGGTGACGGTGCTGGGGTCGACGGTCATGTTGGTGGCCGCAAAGGAATATTATTAAAATAATGATTAAATAATAAGAATAAATGACTTTTAGTCACTTTTTTGGAAAAGTTTAAAACAAGTCAAATTTTTGTTTTTTCATTCATTTTAGTAATATTGGAATAAAAAGGCCTTTTAATAATATACAAGTTATTATCTATGTTCATTTCACAAAATAATGTGAAGGAGAGCATATACATAGAAGTTTATTGAACAAAGTAACCACAACAAAAGTAAAATTATGAAGTAAGGACTTAATAAGTAATAGCCCTAAATAGGAGTATAAAACAATCAACTACCTAAGTAGGTACCTAAATAGGAGTAAAATAAAGTCAACTACCTAAGAAGTATGTACCTATTCTCTAAATACATGTCCATGTTTTACATTTCCTAAATAGGACTAAATGTTATTTTTGTACCCCTAATATAATTAATTATCCTCGTAGACTCGTTGTAGTCCTCTTTCATTTCTAGGGTAGTCTGTTGTTGATGACAACCGCAACGGCTGCTGGGCAATCCAGCGGCAGCCACGGCAGTGTGGTGCATGTCCAATAACTACAAGGGGTATTTTTGTCCATGTATACCAAAACTCTTATTTAGAGAAATGTAAATTTATTAACTTGAGTACTTTGAGGATTCAGGGTTGTAACTTGAAAAGTAAATGTACCATAAAGACTTCAATTTCATCACTACCTGGAGACTGGAGTATTATTTGGGGTATTATTTAGAAAAACCTTAACGTCCTTAAGTAACTTCTTTTTTTTTTTAATGAAAGGAATGTCATTATACTATATGTCAATGTAGCCTGGGTACAAAATATGCCTAAGAACATCCTTAAATATTAGGCAACACTCTTGTATAAATGACTATTATTAGGCTAGTACCTTAAACACTAAGCAACGTACTTGTCTAAATGACTCTTATTAGTATATATAGTTGCAATCTTGGGGTGAATAGATGAAAAGTCAGATTTGTATATATTCACCATCAATATGTGAACAATTCATCTATTTGGGATGCCAAAGTTGGAATTTAGAAGTCAATAGCTAGGCCCCACTTGTATTCCTTCATGTGCGGCCAGTGGCGGATCTTGTACATAAATTTTGAAGGTTCAAATTTATTTTATAAGTTTTGGATGTTCAAATTCATATATAATTTTTTACACTAGCACTCACATATATGTATTTTTACACTACTAGTTAAATTTTTTGGGTGTTCACATGAATAGTTTTGAACATAGGGAGCTCCGCCCCTGTGTGCGGCCCACACGGTTGGGACGATCAGACGGATGATTGAAATTTTGAAATAGGAAAAAATAGGGATATGTAATGTGGGTGGTCATCTATGAAGAAGCCTTGAATTCAATTCTCATCATAGGAAATGAGGGAGGTATTGCTCTCAATGAGTTTCCTATGTTTATGTAGTAGTTCAATGACCAGAGAGGCAGAGAGGAAGATTATAATAATGGAGGTAGCACGTTTGTGTAGTAGGAGCAAGTCTATTACAGGTGATGTAAGTCATACTTCATATCCAAATTGAAGTGTCTAACGACTTTATCGCGTAGTTCATGCTTCATAGAGTAAAGTAATATGGGAGCACAAGTAATAACAAAAGATAAGTAATATGGGAGCGCAAATACCAAGACATGATCACATGAATTATCAAGAAAAGAAGAAAAATTACATGTGTAGTTGTGTACACAGTACACACCTCATATGACTCCATGAGTCGCATATGATTCTTTGAAAATTTTGTGAAACTTAGTCTTGCAAATAGTTGACTATGCACCTTTTGACACCCACAGTTTTATTGATTGCCCACTTGTTTATGATGTACAGAAGTAAGATACTCCACAATTGCTTACTAAAGTCTAAAACCATTGGAGTTGAACCCCACTCAAAATTGGCATATGCTCACAGACTGAAAACAAACAATGTAGCAATTCATGCTTTAACTCTTAATCAGATGAAAAAAGCAAAAATGCCTTTATCTCACTTTAGCTACACGCCTACACACACCGCTTGCGTGCAACAGTATATAAAACTGGTGATGACTATAATTAAGCACCTTAAAAGATGTAAATTTATACAAATAAAAAGTTTAGGATCCTCCATCAATGGCATTTAGAACAACTAATAGCGAGACAACAAAAGCATAATCGACGCCAGCGAAGACTCTCACATCAAAATTCTCTACGCCTTTAAAGAAGTTGCGTATGTTCATCTTCTTCTTCACCTGCATTGTTGTTACACCACAAACATGGCTATTAGTATTTTCTAGTGTTTGAAATAGCACTAGGCAGGAGGCAGACTAGGGATTGCATTATATGCTAGGTTTCTCATGACTGCTTCTATTTATCCCTATTTTGGCTACCAAACGGCCCCTTCTAGCCCAGTCAGGTGCTACGCTCCTAGGCAGGGTCGTGTGGAACATAGACCGGATTAGGTGAGGTCAATTTAAAAAAACAGGATGGTGGCAAAGGGAAGTAATGCATTACCTTAGCAATCAAATCATCCCCTTTGTAGACTTCGAAGTTCTGAGAAGTGTAGGAGCCCTTAACATGGAAATTGCAGATCTCTCCTCGGTTTCCAGCCAAGAAAACATCAAGTCTGATTTTCATTTGAATGCCTTTAGATTCTTGAACGGTGTATAGCAGATCGTTTTCATATGAACTCACTCCTTTATAAATTTGCCAAACATTTCTCAATGCAAAAGTCTGCATATTAATAATCAGTCAGTTAGCATCCAGCATTCCAGCTTATACTGCATTGTACTTTTGTACCATTATTTACTACAAAAAGACCAACCACTACTTTCAAGGGAGAATTGAACCTTTTCCATTTCATTCTCAATCAATGAAGGAAGGACTCAATCGAAATAGTAATTTAATAATTCTGTTATAAAATGGTTATGTTCCAAAAATTCTTTTTTCCTAAAATATGAGTTATTTCAATTCCTCCATCATTTGCAATGGAGCCAAAGATTCATTATTTTTTGGCTTGAGATTATGATGGAATAAAGCAAAATGGCTCACTAAACCGTCTGCGCTTCTTTGTTATGAAGCAGTAGTCAGTCCATACAATTTTGGACGCGTTTTTCACTATGGGTCATCCGGAAACAGTCTCTTTGTGCTTTAGTACAGGGGTAAGACTGCGTACATCCGACCCTCCCTTACCCCACCGTAGGTGGGAGCCTTTGCGGCACTGAGGTAAATGAAAATGAAAATGATGAGTTGTTTCAATATGCAAAACCATTTTTATAGAAATTATTGAAATTTCAACAAAAAAAAATAAAAGAGTAATTCACAATGATCGTTGACAATTGGAAAATTGGATCAGTGACAAATACATAAATTAGAACGCCAGCACCTCAGTTAATTCAGGAAATCACTTTAAGAATATAAAGGATGCATCACATGCCTCCATTTTTGGAAATTTACTTTTTAATCCAATCATGACCATCACTATTCTCAGAAATGAAGGAATTCCCATTAATTAGAATCATAACGGTCTCGATTGAATAGAGTTGCAATTCCCTGGAATGAGCTTATTCCGTGAACAGAGTAGGTTTGGCATGTTTGGAACCAAGAGAACAAAGGGAATGACATTTCCCCTCTGTTTCTCAAATCCATAAAATGTGGTCATCATAAATCTCAATGTCAATTTGGATGGAGAATTTTGGAAGGCTATGTGTGAACACAAGTCACATAACTAGATACTCCATCCGTAGCATAAAATTCTTCCCACTTATGTTTTCGGGATGTCCCAAAAAATCTTCCCATTTCCCTTTTTTGGAAAGTTTTCTGTGGCTAACTTCATTTATTTTTTTCTTACTCAATCACAACTATACATTTTCACTTTATTTTCACTTTCTTAAACTCTGATCCAAGTCAAAGTGAGAAGAATTCAATGTGACAGAGTAAGTACAAATTTGAGATTTCAAAATTTCATAAAAATTGAACGAATAACATAACAGTCATGGTGTACACACCCAGGCGCCCAAGTTGCATGTGTACGCGGACAACTTTAAAAAAAATCATGTTTAGACGAATTAAATAGGGGTGTGAGCCAAACATGTATAAATGGCGTGTATAAAAGGAATTTTCTATAACATAATACGTGAACTTCCAACATATCAACACAAATTATTTGTTTTGAAAACATTATATTTAAAGGATATACACCAACCATCAAACGAATTTCACCTCAAAACCCTCCATCCAAACTGACCCAAGGCAATGAAGGAAGGAAGCGTGGGACTTGCGGATTCCATGAATAACATGAATTCCAAATAGATTAAGAACATAACAGCAAAAAAGATAACTTGATCGGTGATCACAAACTAACAAGTTCGGTTAATTAAACAATTAAAAATCTGCCAAGAATCCACTGAAACCCTCATTTTCCCAATCATTTCCAGACATTCCAAACCAGATTTTATCAAAATCCAAAGCTAACCCGTATCAGATGATTCAATTCCAAACAAATTCCATAGTTCACAAAGACAGTACCTTTGCGCGCATGGTGAGGATTGGGATGCCGGACGGATCATAAACGGTTCGCTTCTTCTGCAACAAATGCCAAAGCTTCCCGTGGACTCTGAGGAGAGGGGCCCCACAACCATCGGAGACATCAAACTTTAAATCAGCGACGCCATAAAACCCCTTCTTAACAAGCAAGTGTACAAGGTAAGGGAAGCAGAAGGCTTCCCCGACCACAGGGATGAGAGCCACATCGTCCCTTATCTCAGGTCTGAACATTGCAAAAAGAGTTCTTTTCGAAACTGAGGTTTGCAATGATATAATGTTGTCATGAGCAAGTCAAAGACGGAACTTGATATGTTTGTCAGTGTGAAGGTTTGAAATGGAGAAAAGGGATTACTTTCTTTTCTTCAAACGCGTGAGATCAGCCAGCCGGTTCAAGCCGTGAGCTGATACATATTCTAGTCTCGTCCGCATAAAGAAACCCAAAAATGATGTTTGTACATATTCTTATACATACTTTTATACACATCTATGTCTATGAAAGTTTTTTTTGGTCGAAAGAAACCTAATTGTGGGAAACAGTGAAGGGTTAGGCTACACGATCCCTTTACAGATACATGTACACATTATAAATAGATACTCTGTATATTTTTTTATCAAATTTTACCAACTCCCACACCACCATACACCACACATGCTTTTCTTCTTTCTCTTTTATTTTCTTCTTCCTCTCCACAAACTTCCTTGGACTATAATTCATCCAAGATTGTTTTTACTTGGACTGTAATTCGTCCCAGACCAGACAAGAGCAGACCAAAACAGACCAGACCAGATCATACCATATTTTATTTATTATTATTATTATTATTAGGGGTGTGCACCGGTTCAAAACCGGACCGGACCGGACCGAATCAGACCGGATATCATTCTGGTTCGATCCGGTTCCAGTTTTTCCGGTCCGGTTCTGTCCGGTTTTCCGGTTTAAACCGGCTCATGCACACCCCTTATTATTATTATTATTATTATTATTATTATTATTATTTATTATTATTATTATTATTAGGGGTGTGCAACGGTTCAAAACCGGACCGGACCGTACTGAACTGGACCGGATATCATTCTGGTTCGATCCGGTTCCGGTTTTTCCGGTCCGGTTCTGTCCGGTTTTCCGGTTTAAACCGGCTAGTGCACACCCCTAATTATTATTATTATTATTATTATTATTATTATTATTATTATTATTATTATTAGGGGTGTGTATCGGTTCAAAACCGGACCGGACCGTACCGAACCGAACCGGATAACATTCCGGTTCGATCCGGTTCCGGTTTTTCCGGTCCGGTTTTCTGGTTTAAACCGGATAGTGCACACCCCTAATTATTATTATTATTATTGTTGTTGTTATTGTTATTGTTATTATTATTTGTAATTATAAATGGATAAAATATAATTATTTATGGATTATAATATATAAAAAAATAAAATCTTTATGCAAAAAATATAAAAAATAAAATTTCAGACCAGACCAGACCAGACCAGACCAAAACAGACCAGACTAGACCAGACCAACAAATTACAGTCCAAGTAAAAACATTCATACACCCCATCCTTGAGGGCCCCCCAACACCGACCGAACGGTAGGTTGGGAGGATGTAAACTGGACTATAATCCCAATCTGACAGATAGAAAGTGAGGCTCTGTCCCTGGTACTTGCAGAGACCTTTTGGATTTTTAGAAAAGTAACTTCTCATCGCAGTTGTCGAAATTCGAACTCGGGACCTAACCCTTGTGACATCACCATTTTCACTCGCCTATCATAGAGGTCCATTTTTTCATGTTTAGGAATGAGTTTATAACACCACCAACTGGAGAAGATTGATATGAACAGTTGTTGATGGAAACGATGACGGCAATCGGAGATGGTAATACCACTTCAAACAATGGGGAACGGTTGAACATGAACATGGACGCCATAGATGATTTAGGTAGTTGTTTAGAAGATGTTTATTGTTTGTTCTCTTTATTTTTGTACTCCCTCCGTCCCATTGGACTTTGCCAGCTTTCCATTTTTTATTGTCTCAAAAAACTTTGTCACTTTCCAATTAAAGCAACTAATTTGTAGTTCTGCATATTTCTCTCTCCCTTGTACAAATCTTAACCACACAGTTTTTACTTTTCTTATTTCTCACCTACTTTGCACTTGGCAAAGTCCACCGTGACGGAGGTAGTATTTTTTTTTTGGAAAAAAATGAGTTCTTCTTGCAGTCCCTGTGTACACAGACGACTTATAATTAATGTGTACACATACAACTAATATACACGGACAACTAATATCTGTATAAAGATATTTAGTGTGCAAAAGGTGTTTATGGTGTTTTTTGTATTAGTGTGAACACAAAGATGAGTTGGTAATGCAACACATGTGTACATGCATGACTTATTTACGAACACGAGATCTTAAAAGATGTACTACATATATTAGCATATAAAGACAACTAATTAATATCTGTATACAGACAAAATATTGGCTATATACAGATAACTACTATATGTGTGTTATGTGTTTAGAGACAACAATGTTATTATGAATATTGTGTAAGAGATGGAGAAGGAGATAACAATAATGTTAAAGCTCCATAAGTGGGTATGAAGTTTGATAGCATGGAAGAAGTGTATGATTTATGTGCGAGATATGCCAGAAATAGCGGATTTCTTGTATGAAAAAGAACATCAACCAAAGACAAAATAGGAGGATTTTTAGTGGGAGTAGTAATTGATGGTCCCGTATAGAGGTAAAAGTCTAGAGGGGGGTGAATAGACTTTCAAAGCTTTTTCGACTTTGAAAATTTTTCCCTTCTAGATGAGTTGATCTACAATCTTTTGGGAGATTTATAGATGCACAACGGAAGTCTTTAACCTCTTAGATAAATAGTGTATAACAACTTTCTATGATGGATGACGTTTGGACTTTAAACAGTGAGCAGTTGGCTTGGCAGTTGCCTGGATGGCAGGGGACTGCTGAGGCAACTGCTAGTGAGAAATAGGAGTTTGGGAGAGATGATTGTATGGCCTTATATGGAATGATGAGTGCTTTCTGAATGTGTACTGAGCTGTAGATGATAAGGGGTTTTGCATAAGCAGAGGTCTTAGCAGTTGGGTAGACCCAGGAAACTGCTAAGCCACCTGCTGCGTATGAAAGAAGTATTTCTGAGAATAGGCAAAATGGACCTCTTAATAGTGATGTTCCGAAGCTATCGTGAAACAGTTGTCTCAAGAAAAAGTAAGTTATTAAGCAGTAGGATAAGCAGTAGAGTCAATTAAGACTACTGCTTATGATGCTACTGGCAAACTACGATCCCTTTAATGAAGAAGTGTTGAGTGTGTGTTCTGTTGACTGAAAGTAAATCAACACACAGTATATCCTGGTTCAGAGGTGGTGTAATCCTCCTACATCCAGTCCCACCCTATTTCAGATGGATTTCACTAAAGTATTAAGCCCAATACACTTAGTGTCAATCTAGCCTTGACAACTCTGGCCTAGATTGAAGGTGTTTCACGAGGAGTACAACACCACTCCAAGCTACTCAATCCTTTAGGTTTTTCTCAATTAATCCAGTGGGGATCAAAAGGTATTCCTGACCTATCTAATCACACTTCAGGCCGGGAACAACTGTCCTCCTGAGTGTTTACAACACCTTATAAATTACAAGAAAATTCTGGTCTCCGATTAAAAACTAAGCTCTAAAAATATGAAAATGATGATCTAGTCTAAGAGCTTAGTGAAGCATGAGTCAAAGCAGAGAGTGAAGTTATGATCAAACACTTTCTCTTTTGCTAGATATCCTTTGAATGCTTATAGGATTTCTCTGCTTTTGAACTCAATAACTTATTTTAGAACTCATGCTTCGGCCTTTATTTATAGGTGTCTCTGGTAGATTAATATCATCCGTTGGTTAAGATGATTTAATCCTGTTCGTTGAATCTTTGTTTCAGAAGATAACAACTTGTTGTTCGTCTTCTTCTTTGGAGCCGATAACTTCTTTGTCTCTATTTGCCTAGCCGCTGCAGTTTTCTCTTTAGGCTTTCCACTTGACTCCTCGTTCCATGCTTTGGGTCAGTGTACGATATTGCATTAAATGCCCTCCATGCTGGATTCCTTTTCTTTGATTGGCTTCGGATGATCACGAGACAGTATATCAATTTTTGAGTAGTAATACAATTTATACTCGTAGGATTTGAATATCCTATTAAGGTAAATAAATTTACCTTATTGCATTTTAAATTTCCAGTATTATTTTTATTAGTCTCAAAAATTATACATTTATTTGCCCTCAATTTATACACATTTAAAATTCATATCAATGTGTCTTTTGCTTTTTGTGACGTTTGAAAATGTTTTATGATAAATTAAATATATACCGGTAGGATTCAAATATCCTTTTTAAGGTAAAAATTACCTTATTGCATTTTGATTTGTCCGGTATAATTTACTTCACACAAACATTTTACTTTTGACTTTTGGTCACTCAAGGTTTGTATGGCCAGCTAGTATTTCGAAATCAAACCAAATATTTAATTGGTAGGATAACAAATCCTATTAAGGCAAAAATCATTACCTTATTGCATTTTGTGTTCCAGTTAAATAATAGTACATTCGAAATACTTTGTTTTCATTTGATGTGATATTAACAAATAAGTTAAGCTGGTAGGATCTATAAGAAATCCTTATTATAAGGTAATGGAATATTACCTTATTGCATTTTGACTTTTCCAGTTAAACTTATTTGTTAATTGACCATTTGAGCAAGACACTTTCAGAATTTCAAATTTAAAGAATTTGTTTTGGTCCGGAGGCAATAGAGACCCTCGCTCTCTGGTCCGGAGCAGTTCTGTCCGGAGTCAACAGAGACCTTCACTCTCTGGTCCGGAGCAGTTCTGTCCGAGGCCAACAGAATACCTTAAAGGTGTTCTGGTACGGAAGCCAACAAAATACTTTACTCAACAAATGGTTAGAGCAGAATACATGATAGCTACCAAAGATGGAGGGAACAAAAAAGAAAACTATGGCATCATCAAAACACTTTATAAAAATCTAGGGGACTAACAATTTCCCCCTTTTGTGATGATGCCAAAAGAAGAGTGTAAAACATTTAGAGTTTTTCATTAAAGATGTTTTACTACTCTCTTTCCCCCTCTTTTGGTATCATTTTTTATTTATCCCAAATTTCTCATGTTTGAAGCTTCTCCAGGAAAGAGGTCTCTTGTTGCTTTTCTCTTTCTTCTATTCTCGATAGCTTGGTCAAGTTTGAAATGGAAGACATTGTTAATGTTCTGTATTGAGAGTGATGTCTCAATGTCTTGTGTCATCATCCATCTCAGAGAGAATGTCTCCTCTTCTATC